TGATTTAAAGAAACAGGTACAACATTGTTACATGATTTATATATTGCCAACCCAACCGTTAGATTATATTCCTAACATTTTTGACAAATGGTTGCCCAATCTTTTCTTTAAAACCTCCAGTGTTGGAGCACCCACAACTTCTGGACGCAAGTTTTTCTGGCGATTATTTGTTCTAACTATCAGGAAATTTCTCTTTAGTTCCCGGTTGCTTCTCTCCTTGATTAGTTTCCGCCCATTGCTTCTTCTCCTGCCTTCAGGTGCCTTGGAGAATAGCTTGACTCCCTCTTCTCTGCGGCAGCCCCTGAGATATTGTAACACTGCTCTCATGGTCCCTTTTTTTTCACGAAACTGAAAAGGAATCTTTGAAATTGAAAATGCATTTTTATTATTATTATTTTTTAAATCCCACCAGGTCGTAGATGATGACTTGTGGCCCCGGTTGAGTTCCTCGGAAGGCCTGCCTTTATTCTCCTGCAGCAGTGCCGTTGTGTCCGGCAGATTTCCGGAACAAGTTGAGGAGCTGACGAAGGACCATGACGGTTTGGGAGCCGCTTCCTCGAGAGAGGCGGTGTCGTCGGACGAGAAGGGCGGCAAGGCACTCGGGCTGCGGGCGCACGACTCGTTCGGTCGAAACCCACCGGGGACTTTGTCTCCTTCCAACGCCAGGAGTGCGGGTCCGGACCCCAAATCCTTGAAGGCCTCCCCGAGCGATGCGTCCAAAGTCCAGGAAGAAGAGAGGACTCCATCGTTGGCCAATTTCAAAAGGACATTGGAAGAATCCAACTCGGGGCCGGTGGTGAAGAAACCGAGGCGCGTCCTGACCCGAAATGTTGGCGGGCAGCCCGAAAGCCTCTCTTCCACCCCACAGCATAAAATCACCAACAGGCTGGCCATCCGCCGAAGTGTACGAGGACAGAAAAAATTGGGGGGGATAGATAACCCTTTATTCCACCAAACTAGGAAAGCTTTGTGTGTTTGCTGAATCTTCTCCGTCTCGTCCAGAAATCCAATCCAACCTGGAGATTTGCAGGGAATTTGAAGCTGCAGTTTCATTCTCTGCTCCCTTTTATTGAGAGAGAGAGAGAGAGAGAGAGAGAGAGAGAGAGAGAGAGAGAAAATCATCATTATTTTTTAATGTCGAAGAAGGCGGGTTAATTTAAACAGCTTTATCCCAACCTTCTGACTCCCCTCCCCTCCCCCCAATTGTCATATAACTGTGAATTTTGTAGGCATCCTTAGAAGGATAGAGAGGTTGGTGTAAAAAAATATATATATACACGTAAATTTATATTCCTTCATACAACTCATAGTTTCCTTCCCTGGGTACACTTGCATTGATTGTTACAACAAAGGTAAAAATAACAACACAATATAAAAACTTGCGTTGGGAAGCTGTTTTATTTTTTATTTTTAAAATATAGTTTGGAGTGCGGGGGGGGGGGAGTTAATTTAGTACAAATTAACGGATTTGTATAGCCTTCCTGTGACGACCTCACAACTTTTTAACAAAAGTAAATTATTAAAAACAATGGAAGATACGTATTTTCGTAGTTCTTAATAATGTTTTGCCTGGAATGCGCTCTATTAGAGAATATAATAGTAGGTCTATTTTCTTCCTTTTTATTAACTTTTAGATTTTCTCTATTCAGAATGAAATGTACGCTGAAAAGATGTTGAGCCTTTATAAACAGCTGTATGCTGGGTTCTTGTGTTTTAATTAAATTAATTAAAATACTATGCAGTACTTTAGGTCTGGCTGTATTTGCATTTGGTTTTTCATTGTTTGTTTGTTTGTTAAGATGAAGGGCCAGTATTTTAGCTAAAAAAAAGAGAAGTTTTTTCTCCATCAATTCTTGGGCTCCCAATTCCTGGGGGCTGCTTTTCGAAGTTCTCTTGGTGATATACTTGGAATTATGATACATTCCTTTGTGGACGCATGAGATATTTTACTATTCTAACCATTGATGGCGCACTTAAGGGTGGCCACCAGAGGTTTTTCTTTTTTTTAAGTTATTGGGTTAGTTTTCTAGTTTGCATATGTTGTCATTGTATACCTACAATAAAATAAAATTGCTAAAAACCTGTCCGGTGCTTTCTGGTTTTTAAAAACTATTTTTAAACATAGCTACACATCTCAGGTTTTCCCATAACTTGTTTTTTGAAAGAAATTATTTCTGTAATGTACGGAAAAAGGAAAACCCTTCAAGACAACAATAAAGCTAGAAAGAAAGAAATCATTCTCTCCTTCCCTCCCTCCCTCTCATCTATCTCCCCATCCATCATCCATCATCCATCCCTGTATATCTGTCTCCATATCTATTATCTGTCAGTCTGTCTCCCTCTCTCATCATTTTTCTGTAAGCCGCCCGGAGTCCTTCGGGATTGGGCGGCCTATAAATTTATTAAATACTAATACTAATCTACATATCCATCCATCCATCCCATCCATCCATCCATCCATCCATCCATCCATCCATCCATCCATCCATCCATCCATCATCTCGGTTCACAACAGACANTTATGACGCTCCTGCTTGTTGCATGGGGCGTTTTGTGTGTTGTCCAGCTGCTTCTGCATTGTGTGAGAGTCAGTTGTGTAGGAGTCAGTTGTGTACCTTTTGTGTTCTTTTTGTGTTAAGTGTGATAGTTGGTTATGACGCTCCTGCTTGTTGCATGGGGCGTTTTGTGTGTTGTCCAGCTGCTTCTGCATTGTGTGAGAGTCAGTTGTGTAGGAGTCAGTTGTGTACCTTTTGTGTTCTTTTTGTGTTAAGTGTGATAGTTGGTTATGACGCTCCTGCTTGTTGCATGGGGCGTTTTGTGTGTTGTCCAGCTGCTTCTGCATTGTGTGAGAGTCAGTTGTGTAGGAGTCAGTTGTGTACCTTTTGTGTTCTTTTTGTGTTAAGTGTGATAGTTGGTTATGACGCTCCTGCTTGTTGCATGGGGCGTTTTGTGTGTTGTCCAGCTGCTTCTGCATTGTGTGAGAGTCAGTTGTGTAGGAGTCAGTTGTGTACCTTTTGTGTTCTTTTTGTGTTAAGTGTGATAGTTGGTTATGACGCTCCTGCTTGTTGCATGGGGCGTTTTGTGTGTTGTCCAGCTGCTTCTGCATTGTGTGAGAGTCAGCTGTGTAGGAGTCAGTTGTGTACCTTTTGTGTTCTTTTTGTGTTAAGTGTGATAGTTGGTTATGGAGCTCTCTGTGACTCTGTGAGGCTCCTTCTTGTTACATGGGGCATTTTGTGTGATGTCCAGCTGCTTCTTCATTGTGTGAGAGTCAGTTGTGTAGGATTCAGTTGTGTTGCTTTTGTGTTATTTTTGTGTTAAGTGTGATAGTTGGTTATGGAGCTCTCTGTGACTCTCTGAGGCTCCTGCTTGTGGAAGTCCAGCTGCTTTTGCATTGTGTGTGAGTCAGTTTTGTGGCTTTTGTGTTGTTTGTGTGCGAAGTGTGAAAGTTGGTTTTTGAGCTCATCCAGTCACATGGCCATGACCACCAAGCCACACCCACCCAGTCACATGACCCCACCTAGCCACGCCCACAGAACCAGTAGGGAAATTTTTTAGATATCACCACTGGACTGCAGTGATTCACTTAACAGTCTCAAGAAAGGCTGCAAAATGAGGCAAAACTCACTTAACAAATGTCTCGCTTAGGAACAGAAATGTTGGGCTTAGTTGTGGTCGTAAGTCGAGGACTACCTGCATAATACAGGAGGTCCTTGACCTACCAGGTCACTTAGCAAAAAAAAGTGACTTCCAAATATTTGGAGATTGGGATACACAAAATTCCCAGCAAAGCTGGCTGAAGGAATTTGGGCCATTATACAGGGAGTCCTCAACTTACGTCCATAAAATTTGAGCCCCAAATTTATGCTGCTCAGTGAGAAATTTGTTAACTGAGTTTTGCCCCATTTATGACTTTACTTGCCACCGTTGTTAAGTGTTTCGCCCTACTTGTTAAATTAGTCAAAGCGTTGCTTGAATCCGGATTCCCCGTTTGATTTTCTCAAAAGGGGATCACATGACCCCGGGACACTGCAACCGTCGTAAATGTGAGTCAGTTGTCAAAAGCATCTGAATGTGAATCACGCGACCACGGGGATTCTGTGACGGTCATAAGGGTGAAAAATGGTTATGAATCACTTTTTTTTTCTAGTGGTGCCGTTGTAACTTTGAACAGTCACTAAATGAACTGTTCTAAGTGGAGGACTCCCAGCGGTGGTCACTGGCTGTCATAAAGTCTGTTTCACAGTTCTAGCAATTGCAGTCCTAGCATGTCTGAATAGGTTTGACAAGCGAATGCAGCTGGGAATAAGACTTAAGAACTGTGCTTTAGTGTTGCCCCCCGGGGGGGGGCAATTATTGCACAACAGAATAACAGAGTTGGAAGGGACCTTGGAGGTCTTCTAGTCCAACCCCTGCTCAGGTAGGAAGTCCTATACCGTTTCAGACAAATGGTTATCCAACCTCTTCTTAAAAACGTCCAGTGTTGGAGCATTCACAACTTCTGGAGGAAAGTTGTTCCACTGGCGAATTGTTCTAACTGCCAGGAAATTCCTCCTCAGTTCTAAGTTGCTTCTCTCCTTGATTAGTTTCCACCCATTGCTTCTTGTCCTGCCCTTCAGGTGCCTTGGAGAACAGCTTGACTCCCTCTTCTTTGAGGCAACCTGAAATATTGGAGGACTGCTATCCTGTCTCCCCTAGTCCTTCTTTTCATTAAACTAGACAGACCCATTTCCGAGGTGGCGCAGAAGTTAAATGCAGCACTGCAGGCTACTTCAGCTGACTGCAGTTCTG